TCCCAAAAACTCCACTGGGAATCAGAGAGTTGTTATACTTACTAATTTGGAGGGATCACGATGCTTATCTGCCTCTCTGTTCTTGTCTTACTTCTTGTCCTGTGATAAGACTGTATAATTTTCTTCATGATGGACCTATAATTAATTCTCTCATAAAATTTGTTTCTAGGCATTTTGTAATTTTTGTTGCAATTCTGAATGGATTTTCCTCATTTCTACTTCTAATTAGTCAGTGTAGAGTAAAAACTATTGATTTATTTTGTGTGTAAATTATTGATTTACTTTGTGTCCTATCACTTCCCCAATTTTCTTATTAATCCTAGTGGGTTGTTTTAGTAGACTCTCTTGGACTTTCTTGCTATACCATCACACCATCTGCAAGTAAGAGAATTTTTTCTCTTTTCCAATGGTAAGAGTTTGTTTTGTTTTTGTGCCTTATTACATTAGTTAAATACTATACAAGATTATGAATGATGGTGATGATGGGTATTCCTGATTTGCATGTGGATAGAACATGGCTTAATATAATATTTGATTTTGATTTTTTCCTCTTTTTGGTTATTTTATAATTTTAAAGTAATTTCCTTTTATTCTTATAATACTTAAACTTTTTATTTAGCAGGTATTTTTAACCTTGGAGAGGAAGACATTTCAAAGCAAAGTAGGCAAAAGACATGCTTAAGTTCACAAGAATTACGAAAAAAAATGGTTTTTGAATGGCAAAATATTATATAAAATGTCAAGTCAAGGAGGAAAATATTTTCAACCTATTTAGTATCCCTAACAAATCAATAAGAGAAAATCATTTAAGAAAAAATGAGCAATGGATTTAAACAGGTAATTTTTAAAAGAGGAAACCTAAATAATCAATGAATAATCAAGATAGGAAGAAATACTCAAATGTACAAATTAAAATAATAAAATGTCATTCTCTATCTAGTATACTTGCCAAAATAATAACTACCAGTACTATTCATGGCAGGCAAGGATGCAGGAATAAATGAGTATAAAAGACTGTAACACTTTTGGAATACAGTTTGGCAATGTCTATTGAAATTTAAAACACACAAACCTACTTTGGGAAACCTACCCCCTGGTAATAAAAGCATCATATACATAGAGGGGTGTTTCAGTATTGCCTGCAGTATGAAAAGCCAGAAACATTTGGAATGTCTATCAATAGGTGAATAATTAAGTAACAATACAGGATATAATGGGATTTTATTAAGCCATGAAAAATAATAAAGTAAAATCTATATCTACTGATCTGGAGGGATCCCCCATGATATTCTTTTAAGTGAAAAAAGCAACGTGCAGAGTTATGGGTAAGAGCCTATTTTTGTTACTAAAAACAAAACAAAACATAACCCAATGTCAAGTATGTGTTTATCGGAGCAGGGAGAAAGGGGTTTGTTTGAGATGATGGCAAGAGGAGAGATTTTAATTTTTCATACACCTTTGAATTAATTTGTTAACATATATTATGTGTGCTTATGTAATTAAAAATTAACCAAGAAAATTTAAAGGAGGAGGAAATGGAACCTGCCTCGGAAACATCAATGCATTTCATTTGATGTTTTGTGGACTGAAAAGTTCATGGCTTATATCTATTGATTACTTTTCCTCCTTCAAAAGGGCAGGAGCAAGAAAGTAGGGTGGGCTGGAATGGGGGGAGAAGCTGGGAGCCACAGGTATACCAGCCCAAGGGCTGGGAGAGGGAGAGGGAGAGAGCTGGAGGAACAGGGGGTGTGTGGAGGGGAGTAGGTCAGAGAGAATGCGCTGGGATCAGAATCAGCTCTGGTGCCAGGGAGCAGAGACTTTGCGGCCGAAGGGGGATGCCCCTGGGGTCCCTGAGGCAGTGGCCAGTAGCCGCCTGAGAGCCTCTGTGACTGCACACTGGGTCTGGAGTGGCCAGGGGACCCACGCTCAGTAAAAAAGCACAGATCCTGGCTTCTGCACAGGCTCATCAGGGAGGACCAGCACAGCCACCCAGGATCGGCTCAGAAGCAGCAGGGGCAGTCGGCCTGGGGGGGGCTCTCTGGCGCCCTTCCTTGCAAACCGGGGACACTCTGGCATCTACGCACTGAATGGCTCTGCTTGTCCTGCCTCCTCCACCAGCACCTGTTCCTGCCCCCCCGCCCCCCTGACTGTGGTTGCCCCAAGTTCAGTCCTGCCCACCACAGGCAGCCCACCCATCCCTGGTGCACCCTGCTCTTGGTGGGTGCAGACACCGCCTGAGCCTCCACCACCTGCCAGAGCCATCAGCCTTCGTGGTCCTGCTGCCCCTGGCGAGACACGGGGGCCACCTGTCGAGCAGAAGGGTGGCCTCCTCTGCCGGGCACTGGGAGGATGATCACAGCCTGTGACAGGCCTGGCACAGGCCGGGCCTTGTGCTCCGGGAAGCAGAGGGAGAGCGAGTCCACAGAGGGGCCTCCACATGGCCTGGCCTCACTCGGAGCGTACGGGCTGCTGCCTCCTCACCCACGTAACCGAAAGGCCATCTGTGTCTGTGTGGCTGAGGAGGAGAGGGCGTGTGCATGTGTGTGTGTGTGTGTGTGCACGTGTGCACCATCGAGATGCCGGAGCAGAAAGGGCACCGAGGGCCCCTCTGGGTGGGGGCCTCAGGGCCTCCCCTCCTCAACCCACTCAGCCACATTCTAGACCTGACAGTGTCCACAGCCTCTGTTTCCATGGCTGCGTCTCTCCCTCGGCCTGAGGGACCCTGACTCACCCTGACTGGG